GCGCCTGTTCACCCCAGTCTACTTAAGAACACCATACATACACATAAAATTTAAATGCACATTGCGTTATTAATGCATTGTGTTAAATTGTAATGTGATGCTTAATGCGTTTTTTTTATGAGTTTTCATCACTTGTCATCTGGGAAAAATTGACATGTGACTCAGAAAGTGCACTTAAAATACACATGGTGCAATTTTTGGTGCACGTCTTTGATTATAATAATTGCTTTTGGCGCATTTTTCAAAGCGGACCCTGAAAATGCTGTAAGCAGGAATTTTCAAAAGCAATTAAAGCAGTAGTAAACTAAAAAAAAAAAAAACTGGTCCCCTGCAGATTAATGTCATAGTGTGCTAGAATGCATCACATACTAGCACATTAGGACTGATTTGCCGCTGTTTCCGCTGACAGGGATTCCATCTTTACCCGATCTTCATTCCAGGTTCATGTGTTCTGGCTGATGAAATGGTTCGAGCCGCTGGGATGTCGCTCCTGTGTAAGCAAAGTTTGTGGCATGGCACAGTCAAGTATGCCGTCCATTCAGAACACAGTGGTGGCGTCACCGGCTGCTACACATCTGAATATCTCCTAAATGGCACACGTTTAAGGCTAGTTCACATTAGATGTAGTCCAGTGAGGTTTTTTTGTGCATCAAAAATGAATGCAGTGTTTTCCATGTATTCCAATGGCCCTAGTTCACACCAGTGCAGTCAGTTCCAGTGCAGAAAAAAAAGTAGAACACGCATTTTTTTTTTTTTTTATTTTGCTCAGAACTGTACTGGAACATGGCAAACTGCACCACAATGGAGTGTGGTGTGAACTGTAAGCAAAAATGTATCTGGAATGCATCCACAGTGTGATTTTGTGGTGTGAACGGGCTCTTAGGAGATATTCATTGTACCTACGGGTAAGCCTTATTATTGGCTTACATGTAGGTACAAGTTGAAAAAAAAAAAACAGATTTTTAATATTTCTTTAATGCACAGGAACGCACCTGTCCTGCATCACATTCCAGTGTGAATGGGTCCTCTTACAGCAGACTTATAAATGAATTTGGCTGTCCGTAGAGCCATCACATCAAGCTACCTCCAATTTGTTACGGTTAGATTCTTTTTTATTTTCCTGGACCTGGACGGACTCAGAGGTAGGTGGGTGTAAAACAGTCACAAGTCCATTTACATCTGCCTGACCATAGGGCTGTGTGGAGCTTCTGATCAGGTTCACCTGAAAATAGGACCGACAGACCTGATCGGATTGCCCATGTGAAAGGGCCCTTAGATCTCTCAATTAAAGCTTATCAAGCCGGGTGGTGTTGGTAAAGCCACCCACGGATCAAATGTTGTCTTAATTCCTGAAAATTCAAGTCCTTTACGACCATCTTAGTGCTGCCTTAACACTTACCCCCTGTGTGTGGTACAGGAGAAAATTAGCTGGGACATATAAGGCTTTGTTCACATTAAGGTGTTTTGAATTGCGGGTGGAATTGCCACGATTCTGCCCGCCGCATGATTTTGTTTGCACAATTGCCATGCAGAAATTGCAGAAGAATCGCCCTGCGTTTATAGGTGCCATTGAAATTAATGGCACCTGAACACACTAAGTGATTTGACATTTTAACAGCACATACGTTCCCCTGTGTTCTAGTTCTCACATCAGCAGCTTCGTTATACCTTGTATGTCGCTGCCAGTGTGAACAAGGTCCAATCCAGTCATGAGAGCTATACATGAGATTTCCTACAGTAGGGATGACTGCCTCTCTGTCATGCTGGTTCTCTTCAGCACTTGTCATTGACCCGGGACATGTTGGCAGATGGTGCTTTTTTTGACTCTCAATCCACATACTTGTTTCAGGACACCGCAGTGATCAGCTATATATTAGCTCTGTATTTCTGTTATGACAGGTTTTCTTTAAACAGCAAGGGACCCTTCTGACGTAGAACTAATTCTAGCATATTCTGCTGTAGCTCATGGGGACCTTTCAGTTTTATAGCAGTCGAGAAGCAAGTCTACATTTCTCTTGTGTCTATACCGCATAGTGACTGCTGCTGACAAACTTCCTGCATAGGGTTTCCTCGTATCCCATGTGGTACATCACGGGTTGCAGTGCTGGATGAGTAACATTTGAACTATTCCAAACACACCACATTCCCAGGCACTCAACAAGCTTCGTTTCCCTGCTCATGGATTGCTTTTTCATTCTTTTTTTGTTCAAATCTCTCTACAAATGACAAGTTACAAAAAATTGGAGCTAGAATTGAATGTAATATGTCTCCCCCCCCCCCCCCCCCCCCCCCCCCACCCCCAAAAAAAAACACCTTTTAATACAAAGGCTCATTGTTAGTCATTTTAGGATCAGACTAAATAACCTTCTATTAAAATAAAACAAACAGTTCAGTTGACTTATGCTCTGCATTGTACTATTCTGAAAGTGTGATATTTGGATTATATAACATTAGCCAAATAATTTCTCTACATTCCCTATATTGCTTAAAAGTCCACCAGTTAATCAATCAGTACATGGCCCTATACGGGTTTATTATTATTATTATACAGGATTTATATGGTGCCAACAGTTTGCTCAGCGCTTTACAATATAACAGGAGACAATACAGTTCAATACAAGAGAGATAGGAGGGCCCTGCTCCTTGGAGCTTACAATCTAGGAGATATGTGCAGTAGAATTGCGCTTTTTTTTTTTTTTTTTTTTTTTCACTCAACTGAAGACCTTGGACCATTTTGTAACCTGTGTCCTGGCATCATTTAAAGAACGATATTAGACTGAAACATTTAAGCCTGACATCAGATATGTTCTGTTTGTAATAAACGTGACTTATAAGGACTGAGTTTCCAGTGGAGTTTAATGATCATGTTCATGGTGCCCAAAGGAGGCTTACCTCTTGTGCCACATAAGAAGGTCCATAGCACCTGCTTTGTTCAGATCCTTGGCATTGTCCCATGTGTTGTCCACCAAATTATGTATAATTGTAACAACACTACATGGCACATAAAGGACTCGTCTGACATCGGCTTAATAAAGCTTTATGTAAACATAAGGCATCACAAATGGATTTTTTAAAATTATAATACTTGTGTGGTGTTACTGCTTTAAGCACACCTGCATTTGTTTCAGTTATATTACATTGGTATGGACTTCCCATACTCTTGGAAGAACCCATTAACAAGGAATTCAATAATACATATGTTATAAAACGATCTGCTGTTCCCAGTTTTAGGCCTCTCAAGAGACCATATAGAATATAGGGACACTAGACTCTGCATTGACTATAGAAGTAGCTAGCCACTGCACACATTTCAGATTTCTGGATATCTGCAAAGAACAATTCTCTCAGTATTCCCTGACCCGATATTAAAAAAAGCATAAATGTCACGTAACGTTTACACACATTTAGCATTCATGGTTTCCTTACTTGCATTCTTTAAATATATGAAGATTACATTTTCTGTGTAAAAATACAAACCTGACCATTAAAAAAAAATATTTAACATATATTATGATGATTATAAACAAATTAGCCAATTAGTACCCAGTCAAAGGCTGCCTTTTAACTGAATTAATGTTATGTCTTAAGTATGTTGTCTCTGGAAACAGTTGCAGTTTTTCCTCATGACTCACTCTTCTCAGTGCACATCTTGCCTAGACCTGTATTCTGTAATACAGTTCTAGGCTCGCTAAGTTTTAAAGCTAAAAAGTGTTGTGAATTATGGGAATTGCTGTCCAGATATAGGGGACATGAGTTTTCAGGAATAAAGGGGAAGTTTGTATTTGTGTGAGTAATTGCTTACCATCTGTATATTAAACCACCTTAACGGAAATACAGGTGTAATACAAAAAGGTTTTATTAACTTTTAATGTAGACTGTTCTTTTATAGTGCTTTCATATGGGCTTCTGAGGGCAGTAAAAACAGGTGGCTGAGCCACAATTTTACGCACCTAAGGTATCCACTTGCATAATAACAATACAGCTGGACAGGGCTGCACACATGCTGCAGTGCTTTCCTTCATGGCCACTGTGGTTTTTACTTGGGGTGAGGGATTTGACAGGTGGCACTGCTTGTCAAACTCACCCTTTGAGTTCATGGGGACTGTACCCAAATTGCAAACTTTGGATATCTAAAAATAAAAGTAAAACAGGACATAGATGTTCAGGAGGCAGCAGCAGCGCCTCCTGTCAGCTGCTGCTATACTGTCCTCGGAAAAGCACTCCACCGTGGATCGCCTCTCAGGAAGGTAAGCAGCACTGCAAATGTGAAAGAAGCTTTAGAGGCAACTCCTTATACAAACACACAGGTAGACATAAAAAAAAGTAATAGTAGGATATTGAAGTGCACCCTATAAAAATCTAAGTAACTTCATGAATTTACAAAAATGGTTTGAAAAACAGTTGCCCAAAGCATCAAAAATCTACTTCTTTTCTACATTCTGTTTGAACATAAAAGGAAAACATTGCTTTAAAATGCATACATGGTAGTCCTTGTATACACAGGCAATTCAGTTTCCATCTTGTAAAACATTTGACATGCAGCATAGACACATAGATAACATACACAGCACCATAGGCTGCAGCTCTGTATTCTGATGGGGGGGGGGGGGTCTCCCCGTGTCAGAACACAATGACACATTGAATGTGTGGATGAGGAAGATGGGTCACTTTTTTTTTTTTTACCAGGTTGAATGAAAAAAGCTGACCCATTTATGGCCAGCTTTACTGCTTTTGTTTCTCTACTCAATTCAAAGGGAATACAGTATGAAACGTGCCCTAACCCCATATGAAGCCATTTTTCTCTGAAATTAAATAAAAGTAAGCTTTGTTCTGGCTGCAAATTTGTTTTTGATTGTGACACACCTGTACACAAACAGCCTATAATGTGATCAGGGAACCTTGCTATCAAAACAGATGCAAAGAAAATATAGATCCACAGCAAAGTATTTCCATACGTTATAATAGCTGTTTATCTGTATATTTTACAGAAATCTAACAAAATGGGGAAAGGAGATCCCAAGAAACCAAGAGGAAAGATGTCCTCTTATGCTTACTTTGTGCAAACTTGCAGAGAAGAGCACAAGAAGAAGCACCCTGATGCATCTGTAAATTTTGCAGAGTTCTCCAAGAAGTGCTCAGAACGATGGAAGGTAATGGTTCCTGTAATATCTAAGTATGGTCTGAGATTGATACATCCTCCTTTTTATTTTCTGCGTATGTTAGGTTATATAAACCCATTCATAGTAGGAACGTTTTCAAAAGCTGTAAGTATGCTTACTACTTATGTCAGGAATATTCTTAATATATTCACTACACAACTTGTTCTATAAAATGCTTCTTGCAAATACAGAAGCAGCAAATTCGGTTTAACACTGTCCTGTACTTGGCACAGTATGGAAGTAAGACACAAAAATACAAATAAGACACGTGCAAAATAGTTTTTGTTTTCATAATATCGTAGTGTTGTCTAGGCTGTGTGCAGCTATGAAAAAAATTTAAATTGCAATGCTGTAAGTGCACTGCCATAATCTAATTTATTGCAAGCAATTAGGGTATTGTGGCAATTGTACAATAAACCCTCATTGGGGGCCACAATGATTGACCTTAAAAGTTATTTTAAAATGAAAAAGCTCTTAATTTTGACACTCTTCTGCTGTCTGTAGACCCCCCCTCTTCATCTCTGTGAAAGTTACTGCAGGTCACATTGCATGTCAGTATAGGGATGATTGTAAGCAAACCAGCAATGCGGAGGTCCCTGTGTTTTTGTGTGTGTGTGTGTGTGTGTGTCTTTTATTACAATACACAATATGTATTTGTCTTACAGACTATGTCCGCTAAGGAAAAGGGCAAATTTGAAGATATGGCAAAAGCAGATAAAGTTCGCTATGAAAAAGAAATGAAATCTTATATACCACCCAAAGGAGAGTCAAAAAAGAAGTTTAAGGACCCAAATGCACCAAAGAGACCACCGTGAGTTGTAGATGAAAAGCTGCTCTGGCGGCTAGTCTTCTGTAACTAAAAAGTTGCCTTCAGAAAGCATTGTGGCAGATTTGTACAGGCTGTGGAGTGGGAAAACCTCTTCATGTTTAAAGCAACCAGTCAAATGCTTGCCTGAATGTGTAGCTAGAATGTGATCGGACGATATTGTCATTTTCTTTTATCATACATTTTCAGTCATTGCTTTTTTTCCAATGACCTATTGACGTGTTTGTTTTTTATTATGAAAAAAAGCCTTGCTTTTCATTAAAAAATGTTATACTTTCTATAGTCTACAGTGAAAGGGTTTGGTTACTATGTTTTTAGAGGACATTTCTAAACCCATAAAAATGCATGTAAGGATTTAAATGGTGTCTTTCACACATTGTTTTACCTGCGTTTTAGATGCAGCCAGTTTAGCTGTGTTTAGAGAAAATAGAATTCTGTGCATCCAGGAACTGATTAGTAACTCTAAACGCATCTGCTATTAAGCAGGAATATCCATAAACAGGAAAGTGATATAAGAGGCGTAAAAGCCATTTATACTTCCAGATATCTTCCCCTGTGTTTAGAAAAGCCAAACGCAAGACTGCCAGTGTAAACGAAGCTTAGCTCTCTTATTGCATGTGTGGCAATGTATCTTTTTATTGCAGATCGGCTTTCTTCTTGTTCTGTTCTGAATTCCGTCCTAAAATCAAAGGTGAGCACCCGGGTTTGACCATTGGAGATGTGGCAAAAAAACTTGGAGAGATGTGGAATAATACCCCATCTGAAGACAAGTTGCCTTATGAAAAGAAAGCTGCCAAACTGAAGGAGAAGTATGGGAAGGTAATTTCCTTTTTTCTATCCATTTCTGAAAACTGTTAACAACTGTTAAAACCTTTTAAACATTTTACATGATTTGTACTCTACTACAAATAGTTTAAATATATTCCTACTAAAAAAATATATATTACTTGGATTTAAGTAATCAAGAACTTTCAGTGGATAATTTACCATATTTAGCACGAATAACACTATTATTGTCTCTCTCTCTCTCTCTGTATGTTTGTATTTTTGTTCATGATGGCCCCACAGAGAATGGTATTTAAATCTCCCAAGAGGGATACAATACATCTGCTGAATGTCACCCACAGTAACCAGCTGATTTGCAGAGGGCTGTAGATATTTTCCACTGATTTTTACACTTTGTATATGACTTCTTTCCTTGGATTTGTGCAGAAGGTGGCACTGTCTTACCAAGAATATTTTCCTTCTCAGTACACCAGATTGTTCTCTGGAAGATTTTACAAGCTGAGTACTTGCATAGAGTAGACTCAGAGGCAGGGCTTCTATCTGCTATGTCAAAATCGCTTTATGGGGGCTAGTATGTGGCTGCAACTTAACTGAAAGCTTTCTTGAAGCCAATTTCACTGTTTTTTGTGACATGATAGTAGCATGCTCATGTTGGGGCTTTTAACCTGTACAGCTTTGAGAGACTTGACTGCCTTTTGGACAATCTTGCTGACTGAGTCTGAGATCATGGTTGATTCCTTCATACTGAATAACTTTGCTCCCAGTTTCCATTGGGGTCTATTAACATTTGTCTATTTTTCATGCAGAAAAAAATAATCTTGTTTTTTGCTGTATAAAAATGCATTTAAAGCAGAAATCCAATTCTTTTCTGTGGGGCTACATTTGTTTGTTAGTATGTGCACTGCAACACACACAGGAACAGCGTAAATCTAGCTTTAAGTATTAAAATAATTGGAGCTTTTAGCTGTTGTGAAGGGTGATAAGGCAGTACCACCCTATATACTTGTGTGGTTAACTTATTCAGAAAATGTTTTTTGGCAGATTGTTAAATGTACATTTATTAGATCTAATGCCCTGTTAAGTTTGGCACAATATTTAATTTCAATTTTACATATGATCTGCTTATCAACATACTCTCCTCATAGTTTTATAACCTTTTTGCTAAAATCTGTTTTTATGTAAATATCTCAACCCCCCCCCCCCCCCCCCCCCCCCCCTCCAATTTAATCTCATCCTATAGGATGTTGCAGCATATCGGGCCAAAGGAAAGCTCGATGTAGCCAAAAAGGCACCTGCTAAACCTGAAAAGAGTAAGGAGGATGATGATGATGAGGAAGACGATGAAGAAGACGAGGAGGATGAGGAAGAAGAGGAGGATGAGGAAGATGATGAATAAACCTCTCCAGGAGCAGTTTTGTCTATATAGCATTTAAACCCCCTGTACACAGCTCTCATTTTTTTAAAGAAAAACAAAAAAAAACAAATCAAAATATAAGGATGTGTAAGATTTGTTTTTAATCTGTACAGTGCCCTCCCCTTCCCTACTTTTTTTGTTTTGTTTTTTCTTTTGTATTGTTAACACACTACCAAACGTATCTTTAGATGGCCCTGTCTTTTAAGTGGTTTTCAATTGCCACTAACCTTGCCTCGTACAGTAAGGGGGTTGTAAATTGGCATGGAAATTTCAGCAGGCTCATGTTGGTGCACAGCACAATTTAGTTTATATGGGGATGTAGTTCATTTTTTCATCTTCAGTTGTCTTAGCATCATTATTGTTGTTCTGTTTAACTGAATACCACTCTGTAATTGCAAGAAAAATTGCAACTGTTTTGTTGACATTCTGATTGCTTCTAAGTAAATACAATTTTTTTTTTTTAATACCGTGTTATTTATTCTGGAGTTCAGTTCTGGTTTAGTGTTTGTGATCTACTTACTGATTTCATGATTACATGTGTTTTGTTAAATTTTAACAGTCCTCACAGTCAGATGATGGACCTTTTTGTTGCAGAAGGTTTTACCTTGTAACAAGTTAATATTTGCCTTTTTATTCGAACTTGACTATCAGATGAATGCTTCCTTTTAGTGAAGTATCACTGCATTGTTTGGATTGTAGGTATACTTAGGGCAGAGTCTTTAAAACTTATTCCATTTTTTTTTTTTTTTCCTTTTTTTTTTTTTTTTAAATAGAAAAATCACTTTATACGTATTTTGTGGAGATGATTTACACTTAACCATGTAAGTGTGGAAGTCCAACATGCAATGTTTTTTTTGTAAGATTGGTCTCTGACAGGAGTAGGGAAAGCTGTCTCATTAACTCTAGTTACATGTGTATTTTGCGTGGCACTGTAGGCAGAATTATATCTGTGTATGTAGTATAAATATACACACATAATTTAGTTAAAAGGAAAACACTATATTTTTTTTTTTTTTTTTGGCATTACATGAATGATTGCTTCTGTAATTACATTCAATATATAAAACTGGTGCACCTATCAGCTTCTAAGGGCTCGTTCACACTTGGCTGTTTTACCAACGCTTGCCAAACGCCCCTATAGCGTTTGGCAAGCGTTGGTCCGGTGTTTGCGGAGCGTTTTTAACGCTCGGCAAATGCCGCATGCGTGGTTTAGCGGCGGTTGCTAGGCGTTTGCCGAGCGTTAATAACGCCCCACAAACGCCTATAATGCATTTGAGTGGTGTTACCGCTCCGCAAACACCCCGCAACCCCGCAACCGTACCGCAAACGCCGGGCGTTTGCGGAGCGGCACCATAGACGAGAATAGGAGGCTTCAAAGCCTCCTGACTCGACCAGAGGCGTCCGTTTTGCCGCGACGTGACGCAAACGCTCCTGTTAGAACAGCACCATGTGCTGTAATGTGCAGAATTGGCAGAGGCGTTTGGGAAGCGGTAAAAACGCTTCCCAAACGCCTCTCTGCCGCCTGCACACAAGGCTAGTGTGAACGTAGCCTAACTTCAGCTTGTTCAATTAAGCTTTGACAATAAAACCTGGAAGCTGATTGGTTTCTATGCAAAGTTGCACTAGATTTTGCAGGCTCCAGCTTTAGTAAATCTCCTAATTGTCTTTAAAGAGTTAACATGTATGGTCACGGTTAATAGAAAAGTGAAATACACTAAGTGGTTGTTTTACTAAAGGCAAACAGACTGCACTTTGCACTCATTTTCACCTGAGCTTAATGAATGCGGTGAAGCTTTGATTTGTAAAGAATACCAAATCTGATGCAAGGAAAATAAAAAAAAAAAATGGCATTTTTGCTTGCATATGATTGGCTGGTACATCAAACCCAAAGTGTACAACATTTTGGTGTCGATATTCGCCATTTGAAAATAAATTCAGTCCCCCCCCCCCAAATGTGCAATTTGTTTTAAGTCCGCCTTAAAGACCATTTTCTAGCCAGAACAGAAAGATTGGTGAAAAGTTGGAACCTCTGTCCCCTCTTTCTGCTGTCTATTTGACAGGTAGTCAGGAAAACAGAATGAGCAGAAATTCCCCTGACAAGAATGAATGGTTATTAGAAACTGATAAAGGTTCTGTTCCTTACATGCTCTAGCCAAAACTGAAAACAAAATATTTTGGGTGACTTTTTTGGACTTTACATATAACAGAGAACACAATAGCTGAATGTGAAAAAGGTCAGGTTAAACATATTTTGACCGCAAAAATAAACATTTTTTCAGGTACTTGTATAGCGGTGTCAGTTTACGCAGTGCTTTACATACAAGGTGGTATCAAAAAGTTTTGAGACTTGTTTTGTAACATGTCAACAGACCTTCATAAGTCAGTGTGCCGAAAGACATTGTCCTATGTACAGCGGGAGCTGTGCAATCTGATCATGTGTGTTACAAGGCTCCTATTTCACCGTGGACAGCAAGTTAGAGCAAATGTCTTAGTGGATCTAACACTCCCCTCCCAGCAGACTGACAATGCTGCTGTCTTAATCTGCCCCATATGGGCCTTCATCCAGAGAGGTGTGTTACTGGCCAGATCACAGGTGAAAACCGGGAAAAGGTCTTAAATGTAGTCACTACATCTAATGTTTGGTAAGCTGCAATATATTACATTTTTGGGTGTAATACATCTTTAGGGTATCAATTTGAACTATGGTACATCTGTTTAGTCACTTAAATGTATTCATGTCTGAATGGATTTACCTTCTATAAAAGAAACTGTTCCATTTCCAGAACTGCATACCCTGGAAATATCAGAAAAGAAAGCCTTGCGTTTAGTTATGATGGTCTTCTACAAGCTTGCCTCTTGCATGGGCTTAATGTCTGTTTATATGTTAGTGCACTTTGGCTCTGTACCTGGGAAGCCTATGATGGCCTTCAGCATTTAATTTACGCTCTTTTTAAGATGTCTCTGGCTCTGCCATTACCCATGTTATTCCTGGTGACTCAGATGGTTGGAGTGTATATATTACCTACTGCAGGAGATCTGCCGAGGAGGTGGAATGACCTTCAGTTACAGCAGTTCCTCAAAAAGGTAACTTTTTTTTTTTTCCTCATTCTGGTTGCAGATCTACTGTAGAGGACATAAAATCTCAATCTCTTCTGTTTATCCCTCTGCATAAGATTTGCCACCCATATTCCAAGTAAGAGGCTGTCTGGGTTTTTTTTTTTTTTTTTTTCTGGATCACTTAGTTTTTACTAGGTTTTGCAGGTTTAACCCTGTGTTCTTTGCCTTCTGAAACTTAAAGGATAAGTTCACCTTTTTACAAAAAATAAATGCACATTTTTTTGCTTGTAAAAATGTGCATATATTTTTTTGTTTCTGGAGCCTCTAAAGCATTGCACCAGTGAGCAGCAGATTGCTGGTCTCCTGCAGATCTCCTAGATTGTAAGCTCGAAAGAGCAGGGCCCTCGAACCCCTCGTGTATTGTATTGTTACTGTATTGTCTCTTGTTCTGTTCACCTGCTATTGTACAGCGCTGAGCAAACCTTTTGGTGCTGTATAATAATAATCTGTCAGTATATCTGCTTGCCCATACATATACTGACAGGAGAAATCAATGAACTACCACAGTGCCTTGTTGGAGAACTGCAAGCCTTCAGCCGCAAAGGCTGTTGGGACTTGTAGTTTGTTCATTAACATCAACGTGCATGAATGATACGGGTGGGCAGAGCCGTGCACGGACGCATTTTAAAAAAAATTGTGACGGGGAGGAGATCTCCCATTAGCTGTCACAGAGGGTGCTGGGGGTAGTCCGTTTGTAACTTGTTACACCCTGAATATGGGTGTAACATGTAACGAAAGGTGAACTTATCATTTTAAAGTGTTCACTTTTACCGAAAAATGTAAAAGTTAACTAGTACACATACCCTCTCCACCCGTCATACCTGATAGAGGCTGAGTTGACGAGAGGGCTACCCTTAACCTTTTTGTCCTGTTTCACCTATATGATGCCATGGTATAACGGCACAGAGTGGCATGGGTGCCTGTAGAAGATCTGGTTTGGAATATCTTGGTAGATGCAGGCCAGCTGGCAGCAAGCAGAAACTGGATCTCACTGGGCAGCAGGAGTAGAGTCAGGCCAAGGTCAGCATCAAGCGAACAGATGTACTGGAACAGCAGACAGGAAGCAACATCCGGTCACAAGCCAGAATCGGCAACAGAGGTTCATGAACAAGCAGGATCAAGCCAGTCAGGATATGGATGAGCACAGGCTCCGGTCACAAGCAGTAGGAGCTGATGATTGCTCACCAATGAACTGGAGTCCTGTAAGGGTTCAAATAGGTCACTGGGTGCTAAAGTCCATCAACTAAGCATGCCTGTGCTCATGAGCATGCGCAGCAAGCTAATGCTCAAGGGCACATGCTCATAATACTGTGCACAGTTCTATAGACTGTTCTGCATGCATGTACATTATTTTGATCATAGGCATTCTTTTGAACATGAGCATTCCTTTGAGCATGGCTTTGATACTACCCCCCTGCTTATGCTGTACTTACGTCCGGGGTTTCCAAACTATCAGCACTCTCGCAGCTGCTCCAGTGGTCTGGGAATTTGAAATCACCGCTCTTTTATCTCTTTTTCGTCAATGCTTATAGGAGGGAGCAGGTGGATTCTGAATTGTCAGTGCTGTCACATTTACAGCCCCTTCCCTGCCCAGTGCTCCAGTGAGCAATGGAGCAGCAGAGTGGGTACTCGCAGTCACTGCTCTCTGATCCAAGCTAACTGAGAATTGAGTGACCAGCAGTCGTGTGATTGTTCAGTTTTTTTATTTTTATGCTGTAGCCTACAGGTATGCTTATTTTTTTGTAAACCTCTTGCAGATCCTGTGGACAAGTCCTACAGCTTTCTGCTCATACCTCTGTAGTGGCTTTCTGTTTGAAAGCTGCAGGACT